CAATAACAAAGTCGTTGCTACGTACAAAAGAAATGAAAGCTAAAATTGAGAAAACTCAGCATGATTTTTAAATGCTGATTATGGAAAGAACAGGAGAAAGCTATTGAACACTTGGTATGTGGTTGTAAGAAGATTGGCAGACTGACTATTTACAAATATACAATAAATAGCCATCTTTGTTCATTGGAATCTTAGAAAAAACGATTTAGTAAGAATTACAATCTACCAGCAGCAAAGAATTGGTAGAAGTACAATATGGAAAAAGTGCTAAAAAATTAACAGATTAAGATCTTATGGGACTTCCAAATACAAACTGATAATTATTTAGCCCAAATAAGCTAGGCATAACCATTAGTTACAAAGAAGCAGATATTGATAATTGACATCACAATAGCTGTAGATAGAAAGGTCAGTGAGAAAGAACTAGGAAAAAATAGGGAAATATGAAGACCTTCAAATAGAGATCAAGCAAAAGAAACAAATAGTAATGCCAGTAGTGGTTGTTGTGCTTTGTGTCATACCAAAATATCTGGCAAAGCACTTCCATGCAATAGGAATGGACAGAATCTCAAACACATCAATTATAAAAAGTTGCATTATTTGGAATAGCATATATATTACAATGGTATCTTAACTATCCTTGATCCTTGGGAAGGTTTTGATAGTTCTGAATTGACTTGGTACTTTTGACTATCTGGTAGATTATGTGTAAATAAAAAGAACAACAATAATAATATAGTTCAAACACTAAATGTATTTATCACAAATTCAAGTTGCTGAAAAAAAGGGAAGCTGTCAAATAGCTGGACTGTTTCACTGGTGTAAAGAACAATATAGCAGCACTGTGGGTAAATACAAAATTAATTGATAATCAAAAAGGAAGGTTAATATGAAGGCATCGAGTTTACTTCTAATCCCAAACAGTTCAGTACTATGATATGGAAGAGGTACTCTCATGAGCATGCAGATTTCTAAACAATGAATTTGACTACCATCTGTTCTTCAAAACTGAACCAGGCAGCCATGCCCAATTTAAGTTCAATTTAAAAACCAAATTGAGAAACATTTTCATTTGCAGGTGAAACAAATATGTCCTTTCTGTCAGCCTGTGCCAAAGAACTGGAATCTATTGAGAACAGGGAGATAGGGGCTCATTCACATCAGTAGTGTTATCTAACTAATGAAATGGAACATTTGTATTTATTCATGCACTGTAATTTCCAGAGAGCTAAGTATCTGTTGCATAAAACAACAGAATTTTATGGTATATTAACCAATTTGCATAAGCTTTCATGGACTATATACTAGATGCAGATTTCACTACACTAAAAGTTATGTTTAACTGATTTGTCATTTTAAGGTGCCACAAGATTTTTCAGTATTGTTTATCAAAGTAAAACAGTTATCAGGTTTTCTCCTTATGACAGTCTTGAATGATTGGAGAATAAGACAAATTAGATAATTTATATATTGATACTAAGCTATTACATAGTACTTTAGAATGTTTCAGTGCCTAACTCTTTTTGTGCTGGCTTTTGCAAGTGTGCTGGTTTGTTATTGTTTATTTTTAGGCCGTGGCTTGATAAGAAAACAACAAGCCAGGAATTCTCTTTTGGATATAATAAATAGCAGGTAATAGTAACAACTTAGTCAGGTAACACTGAGCACTCAAACACTGCACTGGCTTATCATTACATGGAAACTGGGAATAAAAATTAATGACTATGTGTAGTCTGAAAATTTCACAGAAGGTATCTCACTTCTAAAGCATGCAATTCTGGAATATCCTATTTAGAGCAGCTGAGAAGGAAAGAAATTGCTGCTCAATTTCTGTAATAACCTTTGAGACATTCAATTTAAATAATCTTCATCTGTTTGCAACAAAAGCATTGTCTTTCCTCTGAGACTGAAGGATGGTTTAAGCTTGAATTGCAGTGTATTTCTGGTTTTACTCCATATTTTGATTGTAATTGGCTAATTATAAGCTGGAAAGTTCCTACCTTCTAGAGATAAAATTGAATATATCTATTAGGAAATTTGCTTGCTTTGTAGATTGATTTGCTTTTTGATTCATCTGCAGCTATTTGTAACAAAAGACTCATATGTTTGTAGTAATCTTTCCTTACTTTGCATACCATTGTTTTATGTAACATTATACAGTGATGTGTAGTGTATGAAAAATCCTGTTGATGGACCAAAGTGAGGCTGTGACAGCTTTCTACTCCCTGTATTTCTACTCCCATTAATGAATTAAAATAACAATATTTACATTGCAATATCACTATAAAAGATTATATAGCTATGATTTTATTCTGCAGCTAATACATTTTTGGTAAACAATAAACTCTTACTTTTAAAGATACTTAGCCTGGATTGGTGCAGAAAAGTCCTATTTTATTTTCATAATAATTTTAAATATTTGGGTCAGATTTGACCAGTGTAAAGGTTGAGAGAAATTGTTTGAAGAATCATTACTGACATCAGTATTAACCTAATCTTCAATTTTCATTTCTAGAGCTGAAAGAAGATGGTTTTCAGCCCCAAACTTTCTTAATACAAGGAGTGAAAGCTTTACTTACTGCTTTAAAGATGTGGATGAAAAAAGATGTAAGTTCAAATACTAATGATATTTAATATTTTGTTGTTTTACTTTTAAAAATAAAGCTTTGTAATGCAGTAACATTTTGTAGAAATGTGTGACTGTATCACCTTTTATTTATATTTAGAATTTAACTGATTTTCTTTTATTTTGCTTACAGCTTGTAACAGAACATGCCTTTGAAATTCCAGACAATATTAGGCCTGGACAGCTAATTAAGCAGCTTTCTAAAGTAATTCGATCTGTAGAGGTATGAATAAAAGACATTTAATTGTGATGGTGAAAATTTGCATCATTTTATAAGGAAACGATTAAGGCGGGACCAAATAATGGTTTGACTCAAATGGAAATTATTTTGACTTGAGCTGGATTGTAAAAATTTTCTATTTCATACTGCATACAGTCTCAAAAGATGCTGTTTTGCAAGACACATTACAGTAGGGACAACCTTTTGGCATCCAAAGGCTGCATTTGGGATGAGCTAGGAGTTATATTGGGCAGGATATGACACAAGGTGTGCCAGGATATTTTCCTCTGGATTTTGAAGGGCTCCACAATTGTATTGTGACCTTCCTCTGAGAGCATTGTCCACTGTTACAATAAAAGAATAGGAAGGAACAGCCCTTTTTTATCTCTTTTCCTACTTGGTACATCATTATCTGAATGTTAAACTTGTGAAATTGTAAAAATGAACCATTCTAAATAGCTTTATTTTAATTAAAGGAAGAGAACAACAAACCAACAAAAACTCAGGGAACTGGTGTGTGTCAAGTTTCACGGTCATCAAGTGAATTGGCCTCCATTCATCAGTCCAGAAGAAGAGCAAGGAAGCTACGAGATCAGTCTATCAAAACACCTTCTAATCTGGACATTCTGGAGCTCCACACAAGAGAAGTTCTTAAAAGATTAGAAATGTCCCCATGGGAGGAGGCAAGTATTACAAGTTAGAGTGAAATAAGACACAAAAAGTCTGGTTTAAAATTCTATGATATGATTGTAATTCATTTTTGCTAAAACATTGTGTGCTTACATGATATATTAGTTCCAAAATAATTTAAATGTAGATTAAAAGAAAAATAAGATTTGAGTATTAAAGATTATGTGATAAGTATATTTAGTTTCTAGCCCCATCTCCATTAATCTGATACCTCATATACCATCACTGCTTCATATCATTGGTTACCATTAAGGTGCTGAGAAAATTATGAAAGACTCTGATGTCCAGATCAAGTTTTCCTATGCTAATATGTTCTGTATGTGAGTTGAAAAGTTGTTTTCATAGTCCCGTGTTATGCAATAATGCTCAAAAGTCATAACTTCCAGCTGTATTTGCCTCAGCTATCTTCTTGACATGTTGATGCAGTGTGTATAATTATGGGTGCTAAGCCTCATTAGTCCAGAGAATGGAAATACGATCAAGTGTTGTGAAGTACAGAATTATAATAACTTGCTATATGTGTATGATAATTTGTACATGTGAACCTGTGTTATAGTAATTATTAATAATGCATTCTTTCTTCTTTTGCTTATAGATAAGCTTTGTACTACCACTAATGTGGATTACACAGAGCTTTTAAAAATGGAATCTTGTTTTGTCTCTTGCTTTAGGACATAGCAAATTATAAATTGAATGGAAGGTTTAACAAACCACTTCAACCATCTTCCACTGTTCCTGAATGGAGAACAAAAGACAATGATTTGCGGCTTTTGTTGTCAAATGGAAGAATAATTAGGTACCAAACAAATGTTACATGACTTTTGCTTTAGGGAATTTTGCTAACTCTGCTCACTTTTTTAATTGACAGTTTTAGGCTGAGAAATGGATATAGTTATAAGTAAATGTTTAAAAGATAAGAATTTGGGACAAGAAATGTGCTGTTAACTTGCAAGGCCAGATCCAGATTTGTGGGAGATCCCACTTCTCTGTTAATGAACTTTGACATGGAAGCAGCAACACTCAAAGAAGTGCTATGCAGGTTTGGTCATAAAAGGGAAGCTAAACCAAGCTAGTTTATGGTCTACGGGATGCTGTGCCAGGAAAAAATGTTGGCTCAAAGAAGACATCAGTAAAGGCTCTGACAGCTACTCATTATATCAAGTGTTGATACTAATATTACTAACATGGTGTACTTTAAAATGATTTAAAAGGAGTTATTATGAAGGAAAAAACTCTAACAATTCTGCAATCTTTTGAGAAATTCATCAGTAAAAATACAATATGACCAGATTCAGGTAAATCATAGTCAAATTGATTTTTAGTTTGATTTCGAGTTTTTAGTATTCATTCTTCTAAGGAAATATTTATAGTAAAAATTAGATACCATTTTTTTAAAAGATGAGAAAATAATAAAGGGAAAACTACAATGGATATCCTTCATAACAGATTATTTTGTGACAGAGATGAACGGCAACCCTTCAGAGATCCAAGTCTATACACAGCAGACAGTGAAGATGAGGATGAGAAGAGAAGTACTATTAAGATGGAAGAGCAGAAGTCCCATGCAGATACACAGAAACCACTGAATAGTATGCTTATTTTTTTCTTGAATTAATAATTCAGATCTTTTGTACCTATATTTTTATATATTCAGTTGTTGTATATATTATTGATGGATGTGATTTCATCATCAGGCTAGCTTTGACAATGCCACAAAAGAAGGAAGGATGAATTTTTAGTATTTTTTCTTATACTAAACTTGGGAACATTAATTCTTTCATATACTAAACAGGGAAACATTGATTTTGTTTATTTGTAGTTCTACTCAGGCATATAAGTTTTTACATATGCTGAGCAAGGCTGTGTCCATATATTTATTAGAAATATACTAGACTGAATGTTCAAAATGTTTTAAAGGAGCTATTTTGGATCTTTATATCTAGAAATTTACTACTTAGAATTTTAAAATATTTTTAATATTTTTTTCTCATAATTTTAGTTCTAAAATTGGTACCACCAGTGAAAACCAAATCAGAAGAATTCTAAAGACAAATCAGTAGAGTTTAAAATCCATTAGAACGTAAGCAAGGGATATGATTTTTACATTTTACCTAAACCTAGGCAGAGATGGCATTTCTAAATACTAATTCATACTAGATGTGTGAATTCATTCATATGTAAAAAAAAATGGACCTGACTTTGTAGTTATGGGGATGGGGTGGGGGAGAAAATCACATTTGATCTTTCCTTAGAAAATAAATTGAAGTAGTTTATTAGTGTTCTGTGGTGTACAGTGTGACACCAAATTCTGTTTGCTTCTAAGAATGAACTGTTGTTGGATAAAAAGATTGGTAGAAAAAGAAAATATAAGATAAAGTATATAATGAAAAATCGAATGTCTCTCTTTTTCCTTCTAGTGTTTTTTGAAAGTGTGAAATCAGAACTCAGGAATGGCAGCTCAGAATACTCTGATATTTCTGATTCAGAAGAATCTGAACCTGATTGCACTAACCAGGTAAATAATAACATGTTTCAGAGTAGTAATCAATGAAGAATTACACTTTTAATATCCAAAGAACATTTAGTTTCAAATGAAATATAGAAAAAATAGTCAAGAATACTTCTGTGTATGACTAAGAAAGCAAAGATTAGCTGAAAGGTGAGTTAGGCAGAAACAGTCTTAAAATTAGACTAAGCTGATATTTTGTTGACAATGATGTAGATTCCAAAGGGAAGCCCTTCCTTATACACAGCGTTCACTCCAGGGGTACACATATTAGATCACTTTGTGGAGTGCTAACCCTATGTATCTCCCAGGAGTGCCCTTGTATTTCTAGAGCTTGTTTGCAGATTGCTTTGTTGCGCTCCTCTGTTAATGAACTAAAATTGGTAATCTATTTAGGGAAAAAATAGTATTTTCAAATGTTTTTGAACTAGCAATCTTTTTTATGGATTATGCCATCTATGTATGGCTGGGATTCTTTGATGATAGCAGGAGTCAAATAGCTTGCAGTTACGTGAGTATATACAATACTAGGAGTTTTACAAAATGTTTCCCCTTTTTTCCCCCTAAGTCTAAGCTTCTCCTTTTTGTACTGTGAATGGTTTCCTTCCTGTTCAAATTTCCTTGATTCCTGACTGATCATAGCATATGATCATGATTTAAAATATGTGATTAAGCGATATTGAATAACAATTGGGGTCCTGTAGTGAGTGGATATTCTCTTTAATCAAGTCCATTCACACCAAATCCAAGTTACTCCGTTATTTATAAGTGTGAAAGAGTTACAAAGGTATAAACAAGCTAGAAATGTTTTTCAGTTGGGGGATATTTTCATCTTATTTTCCTTTAAACTTCACCTTTATATTTAGAACAGTTTATTTAGTTAAATTTAGGCACTGCCCAACTCCAAACTGACTCTAAGCAGCTCACATATGTTAAGTAATAAAAACATAATGTGAAACAAAAATAGGATGGTATGCAATCTCTCAATACAAAAACATATACAAACATACATCTATCTTAACCCAAGGCCTGGGAGAACAACCAGGTCTTCAAGTTATGAAATGCTAACAAGGTGGAAGCTATATGGATTTCAGGGGGGATCTCATTGCAGAGGGTAGGTGCTGTGACAGAGAAGGCATGCTTCCTGGGGCCTGATAGATTGCACAGTTTAATCGAAGAAATCTGGAGTATATCAACTCTGTTAGCACATACTGGCCAGGCAGAAACTTTGGGAGATAGATGGTCCTTCAAATAACCTGGGCCTATGCCTTGTAGGACTTTATAGGTGATGACCAGCACATGGAATTGCACCTGGAATCATACAGGCAACCAGTGCAGTTCACGAGGTAGAGGTGTCTCATGGGCATACTGAGTCATGCCTATCACTTCCATTCTAGGCCAGCTGGAGCTTCTGAGTGATTTTCAAGGGCAGTTCCATATAGAGGGTATTGCAGTAGTCAAGCCATGAGGTGACTAGGATGTGAGTGCCTGCCCAAAGGGTCTCCCAATCAGAGAAAGGGCACAACTGGCATACCAGATGAAACTGGGCAAAGGCTCTCTTGGCCACAGCTGCCACCTGTTCATGCAGGAATTGTGAGTCCAAGAAGACCCCTAAATTACACACTACTCTTGAATGTGTTCTTCCAGATAACAATCTCAAGGCTAGGGTTTTACACTGAGGCATTTTGGCAATCTATTCACATTTACTACAGTATTATTTGAGTGAAAAAACTGTTACTTATCTATCAGGTAACTCTTAACTACAGCTTAAATCACTAGTTATATTTAGTCAGTGGAATGCTTAAATGATTTTTCTCTCCCTCCAGCAAAAGGACTCCTCACTAGAGGAATCAGAAAGCTCAGGAGATGATGAGAAACAAGAAGTAACTTCAATTTTTAAAGAAGAAACTAAAGTAACAAAGGACCTGTTTCAAATTACAGAGAAGCCATCTAGAAATGAAAATGCAAATAAAAGGTGAGTAACAATATAGGAGATCTGTAGTACAAAAATTAACGGAGACAATTTGAACAAAATAATATTGAATAGGAATATATATTTTTTAATAAATGTAGCTGTACATTCTGCTCTTTCCTTATTTTTCAGGGAATGTCCTACCTCGACAAGTATGGAGGAAGAAGCTATTCAGGGCATGCTATCTATGGCAGGATTGCACTATACCACTTGTTTACCAGGTCATACTCAGAGCACAGACTGCACTAACCGAAGGAGCTTTGTTCCAGAACATAGAAGCTATTCTAAAAATAGACATAAAGATAAGATGTCTTCTCAGAGTTATAAAACAGAATATGGTAAGTTGTCCTGTGACTGGACATTTCAGGGTAGGTAGAAGATAGGTAGAAATAAAAGAGTTTCCAAAATTATATTGCTCAAATTGCAAAAGTTTGAGATAATTAGTAGTGGATTTTATATGTGGAAGAACTCCATTCTGGTTCTCAAAACAGATCCCGGGTTCAGTATTATTTATTCTAAGTCCATGTCTTTTGACCAGGCTTCAATAATTCTAAGTGAAAAGAAAACAGTAGAGCACATTCTGGAAGCCAGTAATCTGACTATCTCAATTTGGGGTCAAGTATCTATCTCAATTTGGAGTCACATATCATTAATCATTAAATTGTCTTGACCCTGGGCCAACAAAGTGATGCTCTCAAAGTCCTGGCCCAGTATTTGGAAGCTGGTGACTCTGGATGGGGCAGAACAGATTTGGGCTCAATCCTCACAAGACCAAATGGCTTTATTTGTTGGGCCTTACAGTTCTGGGAATATTCTGTTGCTAGTCTTCAGTGGGGTTGCACTTCCTCATTCGAGTCTTCTGTGCAATCTGGGAGTCCTGTTGGAGTCACAGCTCCTGTTCAAAGAGCAGGTGGCAGCTGTGGCCAAGAGGAAAATTCATCAGGCACTGAATATTCAGAATGGAGACTGTGGGCTCTATGGCAAAAGTGATCCTTCTGAATGATTTCCTAAGCATTGATAGATCTGTCCAAAACATACCATCATATATCCTTCAGACCAGAGTGCTCCAAGTGTTCCAGGTTCATTTACAGGAAGGAAGAGTTTCAATTTAGAGCTCTTCCATTCAGCCTTGCCTTGGCTCTAAGAGTCTTCACAGAGATAATAGTATCTCTGGTTGGGTACTTGAGAACCCAGGGAGTACACATATATACTTACTTGGAGTATTTACTAGTGAGAGTTTTCTCCATGGTAGAAGCAATCAGGAGCATTGATCAGACTTTTCAGTGTTTCTGATTATGAACTTGTGGTAAGTCGGGAGAAAAGTTCTCTGTCTCTCAAGACAAATGTAATGCTTGGGAGTCATAATAGACACTTAGCAGAAAAAGGCTTTTCTGTCTCAAGAGCACAGACTAATGATCCAGATTGTGATTCAGGAAGTGTTGATATCTAGCAATCACGTATGGCCCAGACAAAGTTGCAGAATATGATGATTGTAGCTCAGGACTCTGTACCTTGGTATGATTGTATGCAAGGACAATACAATGGTTTCTTCTTCCATTGCAAGAAGAGAGTGCATTAATAGCACATTTAATTCCTTGCAGTAGGGGTGGTGACAACCAACTTGTCATGGTGAATGCCCCTGAGAGAACTTTGCAAGGACTGTATCGCCATGGATACAAACATGTTGGGCTGGGGAGTCCTTTTTCAGAATAATTTAACTCAAGGGCTTGGTCCTGAGAGGAATAAATTCTTTCAATCAGTCTATTGGAAATGAGGGCAATTCACCTTGCATTAAAAGCTTTCCTCTGATTGAATGGCATCATGTTATGATCTGTACATACGGTATCTCCATAAAAGTTTATATGAATAATAAAGAGAGAAGAAGGTAAAGGGGACTGCAGAAGGAGATATATTGTTTATTCCTCTGGGTGAAAAGACATCTAGCTTTCCTATTGGCTGAATATATACAGGGCACAGGATGTTTCAGCAGACTGGCCCAATGGTCCTTGCAAGCACAGTGGTCCTTGCACCCAGAGGTTTTGCAGAGAACCACAGAAAGTTGGAGAGTTCCCCAGCTGACCTTTTTGCAATGATGGAGAACAAAAAGGTCCATGCATGCATTCCTGCCAATTCCAATTTTAGCATAGGGAATGCACAGAGTAAGAAAGCACAGTGTGCACGTGATAGTGATAATTCCCTTTTGGCCCAGAGGGCTTGAGATGAGCTTTGAGGAGCTATGGCACCTTCCAATGTGTCTGGGCCTCTCGAGCCAGGGTCTGATTTAACATCTAGATCCAGGATAACTTTACCTCTGTGCGTGGAACTTGAAACACGGCCAAATCCTAAAGGCTGGTCTTTCTGCATTGACAGCAAATACCATTTTGGCTTCCAACGTCCAAACATGGTTCACATATATCATTTTACTTGGAGAGCCTTGACCTACTGATCAGGAGAGACTGGTGTATTTTCCACTTAGGATAGTCTTAAAATCTGATCTTTGTTTTCTTCTAAACACTAGTTCTAGGTTTCATAGAAGTCATGATACAATTTTGCCTAAGTTTTGTTCAAATTGTTTTCCTAGGGAGCAGGTCTGGAATAAACTAGATGTACATAGATGCTTACACATTAATTTGAAACACACTCTTAGATAATGTAAGACAGAAAGATTTTTTGTCTCATACAAAGTGGAGAATATTGGGAAGTAAGTTCTTAGATCCCTCAACAGTAGATAGATCAGAGAATGTATCACCCTGGCATATTCTTTCAGTGAAAAGCAGGTGCCATCAGGCATTACAGCTTGTTCCTTTAAAAGAATAGCATCTTCCATAACATTAACAGCAGGAATTCCTGTAGAAGGTATTTGCAGAGCAGCAGCCTAATATGAACAACTATCTTCATTAAACACAAGAAAATGGATAAATTTGCTTCAGCAGAAGCTGCCTTTGGAGGCACAGCGTTACACAGAGCATTGTGGGATTTTTTGGCCTTCCTAGGAAATTAGGTTGAGTATATTCTTATCCTGTCAGCTCTCTTTTCAGTGACCAAGAACAGCAGTTAGACTTACTGTTAGGTGCTATTCTGGTCACCAGAAGATGCCCTAACAGGTCCCAGCAAAGTTATTTTTGCAGGGTTGTGGTCAATTACTATGATACCCTTGGTTGGTTTTATTATTGGAGGACCCATGTTTTGAATGCTTATCTGTATAATAAAGTTTTTCAAACTGGTGCTGAAGTCAGGCAACTGAACTATTCCTGTACTAGATGCAGTAGTTTTAGGCCTGTCTTCTGACTGAAAGAGATGGAATTAATCTTCTGTTAGGTCCAAGTTCCTAAAGCTCAAAAGGCAGGAAAGCTTAACACTAGACAACAATTTTAAGACTCTTTTCAAAAAGAACTTCAAGAAGATTGGAAATGAGCATTAAAGCTTTTGGAAGTTAGGCAATTTTTCAACAATACTGACAGAACCAACAGCCTCCTTTGTGATGGATGCATTTATGTCTCTTGGGACAGAAATTTAATACTGTAATCTGTAATCAAAGCTTGAAAATGTGGAAAGTCATAGTTCAAATATTAGAATCCATAGAATCCTAGAATGGTAGATAAATAGTGATTTGTTCCCTTTAGTAACCCATTCTGAAGGTTACTTGTCAAGTGTATTGAAAGTTCATCAACCACACTTCACCAAAGATGGCTAGGTTAAAAGCAGTCAAGAAACAATATCATTGAAATAACTCACCTTCATAAAGAACAAATTATGGCAGTATTAACTGGGTTGAAAGTGCTGAAATATAAAGGCATTCAAGTGCAGCTTTTTCAAGATATATCTTCAGACACTCTCCATAAAGGAAAAGTTCTTAAAATTTATACTGATTTATAAGTGGTTTAAAGGAGAAATAGGAAAAAGCCAAGGACGTTGGGAAGGAAACGTTATGGGAGGCAGGGAGGTCAGTGGTATATGCCTCACTAGGACATCAGCAGTGTCAATGGTTGTGACTATGGCTGAGGGGAGGTGGGGGTGGTGTGGGAAGATCGGGACAAATGTGCCAGTGGGGCTGGCTGCACTGGGACTTTGGCAGCGTCAGAAGGAGAATGAAGGGAAGGTGTTAAGATCAGGGACAGGGAATGATAATGAGATAGGCCATGCTATGAGCTGCTGTGGGTCAAGGGGATGAAAGCACACAGCTTTGCCTGTTTGCCCTATAAAATTGTTTTGGGCACCAGTTGATTACCTTCACTTATTTTGGCTGTCTCATGTTTTTTTTCCTGCCAAATGGGCAAGGTTAGGGTTATGTTATTGATCAGTAGTTGATAGTTACCTCTGTGAATTTATTTATGCATGCCATTACAACAAGGATATTGCACCAATTGATTATGTCCATGCTGGGCAAAAACTTTCTGGACATGAGATTTTAACCCTAGTGGCAGGCAGAAAAGGAACAAGAGCTGGTATTTTGGATCTAGGAGGGGCATATTCACTGTATCTATCAGTGGCTCCGTAAAGAACGACTTTTCCTGGGCTAGTACAGTAGCTATGTGGTCCCAGAAAAATACATGCTTGAGTTAAAGAGGCCATGTTACCTTATTTCATCACTTTTTCAAGATTGCAATGTATTTGCCTTTTCCTTTCTTTTTTTTTTTGCAAAAGTGAAACATGAGGCAAGTAAGATGTTTTCCCAACAGTAATGTCCTTGATAATTTTCATTGTTCTCTATCTAAAGTTACAAAGAAATCCAGGTAGAAAATCGAACAATTACAGTGGGGCAAAAAAGTATTTAGTCAGCCACCAATTGTGCAAGTTCTCCCACTTAAAAAGATGAGAGAGGCCTGTAATTTTCATCATAGGTATACCTCTATTATCAGAGACAAAGTTGTTAGCCAAATACGCAATCTTACATTGTCTGATTTTTAAAGAATTTATTTGCAAATCATGGTCTGCTTGCCTATTGCAGATTCAGTCTTCCCAGCCTGGTGCAGGTCTACAATTTTGTTTCTGGTGTCCTTCAACAGCTCTTGGGTCTTGGCCATAGTGGAGTTTGGAGTGTGACTGTTTGAGGTTGTGGACAGGTGTCTTTTATACTGATAACAAGGTCAAACAGGTGCCATTACTACAGGTAACGAGTGGAGGACAGAGGAGCCTCTTAAAGAAGTAGTTACAGGTCTGTGAGAGCCAGACATCTTGCTTGTTTGTAGGTGACCAAATACTTATTTTCCACCATGATTTGCAAATAAATTCTTTAAAAATCAGACAATGTGATTTTCTGGATTTTTCCCCCCATTTTGTCTCTCATAGTTGAGGTACCCCTCATTTTGTCTCTCATAGTTGAGGTACCCCTCATTTTGTCTCTCATAGTTGAGGTACCCCTCATTTTGTCTCTCATAGTTGAGGTACCCCTCATTTTGTCTCTCATAGTTGAGGTACCCCTCATTTTGTCTCTCATAGTTGAGGTACCCCTCATTTTGTCTCTCATAGTTGAGGTACCCCTCATTTTGTCTCTCATAGTTGAGGTACCCCTCATTTTGTCTCTCATAGTTGAGGTACCCCTCATTTTGTCTCTCATAGTTGAGGTACCCCTCATTTTGTCTCTCATAGTTGAGGTACCCCTCATTTTGTCTCTCATAGTTGAGGTATACCTATGATGAAAATTACAGGCCTCTCTCATCTTTTTAAGTGGGAGAACCTGCACAATTGGTGGCTGACTAAATACTTTTTTGCCCCACTGTAATCTAAACTGATGCAAAAAGAGGTGTAAATTCATATTTACGCATTGGGGAAAATGTAATTTGCAAATACTCTGAAAGGCATGTGCAGCTGCATTGATCCTGGTAACATTCCATAAATATAACTTTTTAGTGATTTTCTCTTTAACTACTACTGTATTCTCTGCTGCAGATAAGAGCTAACTTAGACCTAGACTTTGTAGACTAATTGATATCAAGCAATATAGCTTTTTACACAGAAACATAAATATCCCCAAACCAATTTATTCTGTTTCTGTATAGGCTGGAGCTTGCATTAAGAAACAAACCTATAGTTCACTTCTACTTCTAGAAAAAAATATTGTTTTGTAATGGCATAAAACCAGACCACTAGTTAATGCATTGCATATAGGGTGGATGGCATGATTTTGTTTTCGAGCATTATGGGGCAAGGTATTTCCTAGTATTGCAGCAAAGTACCAGCTGTGCACAAAGTACTAGCTTTGTGAGGGGGATATATATTTACTTGTCCCATCAACAAAATCAAATGAAGGCATACATAATTGTGCGATTTGCAGCATACTCTGATACAGAAAATCCCTTTCAGGATTAACTGATTTTTTGTTGAATTAGTTGTACTCTCTACAGTGGTGCTTAAAAGTTTGTGAACCCTTTTGAATTTTCAATATTTTTTACTCATTTGTTTAATTGGGTTCTCTTTATCTAATTTTAGAACTTATACAGAGAACAGATCATGTTTTAGGTGTTATTTATGCAGAATTATTGAAAATTCAAAAGGGTTCATAAACTTTTAAGCACCACTGAATACAAAAGTGTATGAACTGTGAATAGGAAATTAAATAGAGTAAACAAACTAAGGATCATAATAACAATTGTTATTCATTGTAGGGAAAACAGGAAATAATTATTTTCTTTTTTAAAACCAGTATTTTTGAAATGCTTCTGAACATTTTAAATTTCCATACAGGCAAGCACATAAAAGATGAAAAAGAAATGGGAGCTTCAGTATTTCTTACACCATTGCATGCAGTTCCTAAAATTAATCCTCAGGTGAGATACAGTATATGTAAGTTGAATGTTCAAAGATTTGGCTTTTTTAAATAAGTGCATGTCCCATTTTGCATATCCACTAATTATAACTCTTTAGTTATTCCCTGCTAAAATATGTGGGCCTCTACACCAACCAAGGTTCTGATCTACAGATGTTTTGGTTTAAAACTCCCATAATCCACTGAGATTGATCAAGCTAGGACTGAGGGTAATTGAAAACCACAAGATTGTCCATTTCTGTTTAATATGAATGTACAAATTGTGAATCTTGGTCCATTAACTGGAAGAGTGAGGTGTTTCTGCAGTGTTTATAAGCTAAAGAACACTCTGGTTGCAGAAGAGATTAACAAACAGGATTATAATAGGGCATGTGGCTCAGTATTGTGTTGTTATATACTAGATTGTAGATACAAATCTTGTATGAAGTAGATTTAACCATTTTTAGAGAACTGGTGTATTATTAGAATGTAATGAAATAACAGATAAGCAGTTCAGTCATAAACAATTTGTTCTGATTATAACTTGCAAACTTCTGACAATCTACTGTAATAATATTCAATATCTGTCAAACACATAAAAACTAAATGTTCTAGTTTTATTTTAATATCTGTTGAAAGATGTAATAGTTTAGTATTCCTAATTTTATATGTATCTTTGAGAATGGGTTACACTGTAATTTCTAACTGTTTAAACTATTAAAATGATAACTGTTTTACTATTAGAAATTATAATATGAACAGTTGAATTCTATGGCTCCCTTTGGTATATTAGATATTTATTTGAAAAATCTCTGTGATGTCACTTTCTCAGGAAGCTGTCAGTACACATGTTATTGGATACATTTGCTTAGTTTCTATGTAGCATATAGCAGATAACTCCCTCACATCACTTTATTATCATAAATATGTTATTTTATTTAGTTTGTATAACCTTTTCAGCATATAACACTGAGCTATAGATAAATCAAGTTACAAGAAATTAAGTTAAGTGTTTTACAATAAATGTTGGTCCTGTTGTCTTGAAGTCTATGAACATGCATTCAACATTTTATTAAAAGCATTATAGATTTAAATTCTTTTCCATCTACAGGAGTCAGGTAAAACTCAGAAACATCTTAAGAAGGAAGTTGCATCTGAAACCTGTTACAGAATTCAAGAAAACAGGAGTCATGTGCAAAATAATGGAATAAACTTCCAGCATGGCAAGTGTATGCGGGACTGCAGCTTAATTGATGGGGAGTGCAGTCTCAGCTCCGACCGACCATATGGTGAAGTATCCTCTGTACCTCTTCATCCAACCAAGCGGCCAGCATCGAATCCACCCCCCATCAGCAACCAAGCAACAAAAGGTGGTGTAATCATCTGTGTTCTTTCTTTTGCCAACCAATTACTTGTTCTTGCCATTTGTACTACATCCTTATCTTAAAATGTGAATATTCAGAAAATGGGTTCAGTGTTCATCCCTGTAACCAGTTCTGTCCATTCAAATGTCATTTGAAATTGTGAACTGCAGTATTTTTCACCCAGGGAACTATTTCACACAAAGTTTTCATCATTTTTAAACCTCAAAGCTATCATATTACAAAATTCTTTTAAGATGTAAGCACTGGCATAATGGCCAAGTTGGGAAATCGTCAGTTCAGATCTTGCCTCAGTGAGAATTTCTTAAATAAAATTAGAAATGCATTCTTAGCCTTAGGCTTCATCCATGCATCCTCTTTGTCCCAGTCCTGAGGTAGTTTATTAACTGTCCTCACAACACAGCCTCCTTTCTGAAGCTGGAAAGCGGTGTTTATTTTCCATCAGAAAACAATACTACCTTCTATGCAAACGTTCTGGTTCATAAGGAGCAGCCTGGGAGAGATCGGTAACCTGAAGGACTCAAGTTGGCCTGCTGCAGGACTGCTACCTCCCCACCTTACATGACCATTTCTGCCATGGCTGCCAGAGAGAACAGAACTTCCCTGACAACCATAGTCTATCCTCCCTCCCTCCCTCCCTTGCTTCCTTCATGTTACTCCTTCAACAAATTTTTTAAAAAGTTTAAAAAACTATATTGGCTGTTTTATTTTTGCTGTGTAGACTTTTTTGTTATCATCATGCTTTATAATACTGCATATGAGTATATTGATTGATTGTTATGTTATTCATTATGTTTTTAATGTTTTATTTATTTATTTATTTATAAAACTTAGATGGCCACCTATCTTATACACCATAATCCTAGATGGCTCACAACAATAACCAATGAAAACAGAAGGATAGATTTTAGTTTTAGATTTTATGTTGTTTATTTTACTGCTTGTAATTCAGTGACTGCAAATTTCCATGGGCCAGCTTGGCTGATAGCATATAAATCCATTAAATAAACAACTGGCCAGCACTAGTACAAGAGTATTTGGTATATGATGTCAGGAGTGAATGCAACTAGATGATGGACAGTCTGTGCGATCTTTGTTCATTTATTCTGCTTTAATTTCAGCATGTGCCACAAGACTGTTTCATGGATCCTGTGGTGTTTTTATGCTGTCGTGTGCATTTTCATCAATTACTTGGATGAGGGAGTTGAGGGAATACTTATATAGCATTCAGGTGACACAAAGCTAGGAAGGGGACTAATACCTTAGATGAAAGAGAGAAAAATCTAGACAAAAAGATCCACACAGGCTTGAGCAGTGGGATGAAATAAATAGGATGAATTGAACCAGGGAAATTTAAAGTTCTGTATCTGGAAAGAAAAATATAAGGCACAAGTGTAGGATGTGAAAGGGATCTGAGTGTCCTTGTTGCAAGTTAAACATGAACCACCTGTGTAAAGCAGCTACTAAAAAGGCAAATGCTCTCTCGGGGTGCATTAACAGAGCATAGAATCAAGATCGCTGGGAAGTAATTGCCTCATTCTACTCTGGTTTGGCCAGATCCCATTGGAGTATGTGTCCAGTTCTGGGCATCAGAGTACAGAAAGGACAGTGACAGATTGGAGCAAGTTCAGAGGTGGTGAGGGATCTGAAAATGCCCTATGAGGAACAATTAAATGTCCTGGATATGTTCACCGTACAAAAAGATGACTGATGGGAGATATGATAGCAGTCTTCAGATATATGAAGGGTTTTCACTCAGAAGAGGGCAGGACCAGAACCAGTGGGTTAACATTACAAGGAGAAACCTCCTGACAATATCAGCTGTCAGCCAGTGGAACAGACTGCCACATAAAGTGGTGAGTTCTTTTTTGCTAGAGTTCTTCGAGTAGGCTGGATGGTCACCTATTAGAGATGCTGTAGTGTATATTGCACTGAGCAAGGGGCTGACTAGGTAACCTCTAAGGTACCTTCAAACTCTGTGATTCCACAAGATTGATTTCATGAGTTTTGAAATTATATGTAAGAACTGTAGTATAATGTTCATAAATATATGTGTTTCTTTCCTCTTTCAGGCAAGCGTCCAAAGAAAGGAATGGCAACTGCCAAACAACGGCTTGGGAAAATTCTAAAACTGAACCGAAATGGCCATGTACGATACTTAGTTTGATGTAGTAGCTGCTTCTGCTCTTCTTTATACATAGACCAGTATTGAGGGTAACAGTGCCTGGAGCTTCTGTTTTATTCCTCTGCTTGAAGCAGAATGCATGTACCTTATTTGAACACTGCCTGATGAACAAAAACCCAATGCTGCATTTTCACTGTGCCACATCTGCTGAGCAATAACTATTTGGGAAATGGAAATATTTGAAGAGACTATGGATTGGAAAATGGTCTTTTTTTCAGGGCTCATTTTGATGCTTTGGTAGTGTCTGAGCTAATTCATGAACAGAAGAGTGTGATGAAAGTTGTAATCAATAATTTATTTGTCAGATATTGTCAACTATTGAATTCATTTTTAAGCTATTTATTTGGAAATCTTTTTGGGGAATTATTTTAATTTTAAAATGTCAAAAATGTGAAGGTTTTATTTGTCTTTAATGTCTGTCTGCAAGTGAAGAGCCACACTGATTGTTCTGGATTCAAACATTTGATATACAGATTATAGGTTTAAAACATGGACATGATATATTATGTGATTTATTAAGTTAAGGACATGAAATCACATGTTGGATTCTGTTCTTTCTATATAACATCATGGATGGCTTTTTCACTGACTCCTAAAGTACAAAATCTCAGTTTAGTTCACTGAAATGTCTTCCCTCATTACTGCTCTTTCCTCTTCATGTTTCACCATTTATTCTGGATTATAAATTAGCATAATATGAGCAACATTTGCTGCAACCCTTCCCCTTATTTTATTTCCATGGTGTGGAGAATAATCCATGCAAAGCATGGATAGCAGTAGACCCAGGTAGCACTACAGGTATTGATTAAAGTATAGACATTTAAATACATTTTGTGGAGAAAGACTGTTATGGTGTCAGAGTATTGTTTGTCTACACATGCCAGCTGATTAAAGGTCTTAAGTCATTTTTGTATATATGTAAATGTGTTTGATAGCTTTTGAATTTCAGTATGACGTATTTTATGTCATGCTTTGCAAAGACCTGGTAGTAAATGCTGATTCTAAAATGCATGTATATAACCTAGATGAAAAATCATATTTTTGTAATATAAAATTGAATATTTAAGCTCTTTTGGGGAAAAATGGGGAAGCACCTGGACTACCGCTTTACTAAGAGGGCTATTCAGAACCAGAGCAGGAATATTAGGGGTACTGCTTTAGTAGCTTTGTTTTCCTATTGATCAAGAGTTGAAGCATGGCCAAAGTTGCTTGACTTTCTTAAATAAACTTCCCAGTCTTCAAGTCATATCTAAAATAACATATCTAGATGTCCCAAAATAGGACCTTTTGTGCTCAACGGTTTTATATATTCAGTATTTTCTGCATTTATGTGTAATGTGTCTGAATTAAACTAATTATAATGTTTTTTGTTGCATATCAAACTAGTCACTGCAGGTACTAGGACTTAGCTAAACAAGGCTGCGGTCCTCAATGAAGTTGCCACTATCCCATTTAACTGAATAGATTGTATAACTGTGAGGGAGTGATAGCCAAAAATTTAAACTAGTGTTCCTAGAATCAAATCTGATGAAATTGTTTTTTCATTAATGAAAAATAGGCTGATTCTCCATTCCTCATGCAGCAAGTACCTTCAAAATCATTTTGGAGGGCTGAGGGTACCTTCTAAAGCAGATGGGGGAATTGCAGAAGGACTGGAAAAGGACATCCAGCTGCATGAGTGCCCTGCATTTGTGTGATAATGGATTTCATCTTTCATTAGGAAATAAGCTCCGTTGCAATAAATAGGGCAGATTTAAGAATATATTAAATGGCACTGGGGAGTAAATGAATAAAAATATAATAGATATCAACCTGTGATATGTCTGAGGTTTTGAAAATAGCAGTCTGTTTTTCTTGACCCTCCTTTCTTTTTAATTTTTCTTAGCATACAAATGTCAAATGTAGGGAAAACAAGACTGGAACAACCTTTTACTGCTGGCATTGCAAACAGAAAATTATAGGGAGAAAACTCAACACTGGCTTTTGGAAGAGGAAGTGATTTACTTGTCAGGTTTAACTCATTTTTTCTATCATAATTGAAGAAAATGAGACTTTCAAGAGTCATGTATCTTCTAACTGAGCTACGGTGCATTAAAATAGAAATACGTGTTTGTACTGTGTGTTTTCAATACATTTTAAAATGTATTCTGTCTTTTATTTTAGGCAGAAAAACTGTTAGAAGGCACCTGGTTTTGATTTAGCTCTAATTTTCATAAGCCATATTTTAAAGCAATTTATTTCTTCTTTGTGATACTCTAGCAACATCTGTGATGCAAAAAACTTTGAGGGTACAATTAACTGAATGATAAATACATTAAAAATTATATCTTCTTTACTAGATCAGAATAAGTGACAATTGTCACAACTGGTCTGATTTCTCTGAGACTCATAATTATTAAAATGCATACGTATGCCTTTACTAGGATGGTGATGGAGAGGAGTAGGTTTTGGTTAGACTATATTTAATAGCTATTCCATTTTTCTCGTTCTCTTCCCCTCTGCCTATCCCCATCACATTGTTCTCCATTGTTATGAGCATACAGATATATCTTCTTGGACTACTAAAATAAAAATGCTGAATACAAAAATCTGGCTTTCCATGTTTCAGATACAAATTGAAGCAAGTATTCTCTCTGTTACCACTTCAGTAAGGCTTTTTCTTAGACTGTAAATGTTTTGAGGAAGACAAAATTAACTGTAGCTATCAAAATTAATGGTTTTGAAGAAGCAAGTACAACAATTATTTTGGTAATTTAATGAAGAAATTGCAGTGGACAGTCTTGTTTGTATGCTAGTTGTTTCATTTATGTAAAACACAGTTGCATCAGATTTTACATGTGTAGCAGATGTCTGAATTCGATTATGTAGCCCTATAATTGTTTTATTTTCTTGAGGGCAAAAAGGATATTTAAACCAATTTTGGTATAAGATTGCTGTGTCCTCAATAGAGTTTTCAGAGAAGGATCTCTTTACATAAGTAGAGCAAGTATTTCAGCTGTACATTAGAATTACCTTAGACCTCTTCCTCCCTAAACTAACAAGGTGAAAGAGAATGTAAAATAAAGTGTTTTGGATTATGTTGAAGACAGAAGTAAAATTGAATGTTGGTGCAGTAATTTTAGCAGCAGCATTTTAAAGCCACATTTCTCATTGTTCTACAGTCTTTGCTTACTGAATTCAGGCGGTATTGTAGCCTCAAATGACCTCTGTGGTAGATTTACCTATGCAATCATTAACATTGACATATGATGATTTTCAAATCATTTTGATAGAGTTGAATAATGCAGTCAAAGCTAAAATACTTACATTAATGTTCTTTAGTGTAAGAGCACATGTGATAATCAAATTAAAGCTACATTATTTCACTGAAGATTTTAATATATTTTAGACTACTTTAGTTTACCAGAATGTTCAGTCATTAAACTTAGGAATCTTAGGATGAAAAGCAACTCCAGCCTGTCTCCCTGGTTTTGCCAACTTTGTAGCTAATAACTTGAAGGAAATTGAGAAGCATTAATTTCTACACAATCCCTTGCGTAGTGCCTCTTTGACCACAATTCTGTGCCACAAAAAAAAAAAAAAAAAAAAAAAAAAAAGAACCACCACCACCACCCCTCTCCTTTCACCTTTTTATAATAACTTGCATCCATACTTCCAGACCATTAAAATCTGTTCATGGATTTAGGCCTAAGTGAACCCAGGGCAATTTTGTTTTGTGAAAGAAATGTAAATTGAATTTAAGGGCCTTACACTTTGTAGTTTAAACTGGATTAAGAGCTGCAACTCCATTTTTTTTCCCAAAAGAGCGATGTTCTGTGTACTGTGCAGAACAGGATGGTAATGAGATTAGCACTGATTACAAAATGCAGCTGCTGATAAAGCTGCATTTTTGCCTGGAAGAAAACTTTGAATATAAATTTTAAGCCATAATAGTTTCTTGCTGTAAGAAGGGAATGAAATAATTCACTTTAAGAGATTATATTAATATGAATTATCACTTCTGCTGGGAAAAGTTTAACTTTGCCAGTGCTTTGGCATTTTTAAGATATTCATTACACTTGCAAAAAGGGGATAAGTCGTGGCTATATTTGCTAGTTTTGTAGTAGTGTTTTGCTGATGTGTCTCTTTCCCAATACCTTTTTCTACTGTCAATATAAATTCTCAGTTTTTTCAATGTTGTGAAATAGCTGTCTTTCTGAATAGAGATTTGTGTGTTCTTTGCTCCTTTTTATACAAACATACTCCTGTGTGGAGTTTTTTGGTTGGAAAATGGGAGGCTGCAGCTTTAAGAGCTTTCCCCCCCCCCCAATTTATTCGAGTTTCCTATTCCATTTTTGCCTGCAGGCAGGGAAAGTGTATGTACAGTATTTATTTTGTTTTGATTTTACTTTAAAATTTGTATGTTTCTATAGGTAGCTTACTGATTTACTGTTTGGAAGGACAAGTGGCTTGTTTAAATTTGTATTTGACCATAGGTTCCACTTTCTGTACTTTAAAATATGGAAATTAAAATCTGTATTACTTATGTTTTTGATCTTTGCATTCAAGTGTTTAATTTCTTTTTGTTTGCTTACTCAGATAAATATAAAATATGGTACAGATTTTCTTAAGAATTATTACTTAATTCCATCTCTTTTATTTCTGCAACTTTTGTTTTGGTGATTTTGCTGTTTCTCATTTTGAGCAAACCTTGAAATCAGACTGTATCCCCAAAATAATAGTAGTAGTTTTAATTATTTCAAAAATGGTGGAGAAGCAGTTCCAGATTTATTAGCACATAAACTGTCAACATCTTGCTTGAACATATAAGAGGGAGGATTTGAAAGTCATAATATCTGAAAACTGATTTGCCACAAATGTTAGTAAGAAGATGGGACAGTTATATCTATAAAATTTCTAGAACTGTTTTTCTTTTCTCACCTTGTTAAATTGAATGCAGTCATCATTCATAGACTATACCATGGCAGATGGCTATGTGGGCCTGCAAACACTTTGCTAGCAAAGAGGTAGAAATTTAGATTTTTGGTGGGTCCCCATGCATAAACTATTAGTATAGCTATATGCCCTAGTGTGTCAAAAGTGGTGCAGTTTCTCTTTTTTGTTAGGCCATGATAGCATACTCCCAACCACATTTCTTAAAATACACATGTTTAATATAAGCACCTTGTTTACTTTGCTTTTTTTTAAAAAAAAATTCTGTCTTTAAGGCTTAGAAATAATTATTTTCAGTAGAATGCACAGATAGTTATTCCTGATTTATTCTTGTCAAGGAATTAAAAAGAACCCAATTAGTTCTGTTACAAAAATTATTTACAAGTATACTTTTAAAGGAACAGAACAAACATTAAAACAAGTCATTGCAACACTTAAATCTTTAGCGCCATATGTTTAGACTACTGATTTAGGATTAACCCTAATGGGATATGTCTCTGTAGCAGCAGTGTGCAAATCATTTCAAGAATTAGATAGCCAGATTTCAGAAACATCAATCTTATCAGAAGTGTTCCAATTTTACCAAAATGTTCTGGCTTTGAAAATGGAAGGCAGAACAGCCTATTTGAAATCAGTTTTTCTGGCAGAGTCAGAGCAAGCTGTTCTGATGAAGTTGGGAATGGTTTTGAGGTTTGGATATTTTGGATATGGAAATTTGAACCTTGCAACATTTTCAACCTCTATATTTACAGATTATTTGTGAACTGAATTTTCATTTTAAAAGAACTATTACTAGACTTTTGTGCAAACTTGAAAATGTTTAGGATGAGCAAGACCCACATTTCCTACAGTCAGGACCAGAAATATTGGAACAAGGATAACTGTTTTGGCATTTGGCCTCTGTAC